TTGAGTATTTTTAGCTCCCTTAACATATATATTTGATTGTTTATGTAGGAGTTTATTTTGGAGCCCTCTATTCTGTTCTAGTGGCCTATGTGTGTATTTTTATGCTGGTACCATACTGTTTCAATTCATATAACTTTGTAGCATAGTTTGAAATTGGGACGTGTGATGCCTCTAGCATTGTTATTCTTTCTCAGAATTGCTTTGGCTATTGGGGTCTTTTGTGATTCCATAAATTTTAGTATTGTTTTTTATATTTCTATGAAAAATGCCATTGGAATTTTGATAGGGATTGCATTGAATCTTTAGTTGCTTTCACGTAGTGTGGGCATTTTAACAATATTAATTCTTCCAGTCCATGAACATGGGATATCTTTCCATTTTTTTGTATTCTCTTCAATTTCTTTATCAAAATATTGTAGTTTTCTTTGTACAGGTCTTTCACTTCCTTGATTAAATTTATGCCTAAGTATTTTACTGTTTTTCATGCTATTGTAAATGTGACTTTTATGCACATCATTAGAAAATTGATACAAAAATATATACAACAAAAATGACAAAGCGTAAAATTAATATTGCTAATAAATAGCACTTATATTGGGTTGGCCAAAAAGTTCATTCAGGTTTTACTATAAGATGTTATGGAAAAACCTGAATGAACTTTTTGGCCAGCCCAATAAATTAATAGAAGATAAGCAACCAATAGAAAAAGAACAAAGAATATAAAAGGCAATTCATAGAAAAGTATAAACAAATGACCAATAAAAATATGAAAAAAAATGTGGAGCATTAGTGGCAATTAGGAAACTTCAATTAAAGTAACAATATTTAACTCCACATATTGTCAAAAGGTAAAAGAGTGACTAACATTAATTATAGGAATTAGCATGGCGAAACACTTACATTATTGTGCATTTTAGAAATGTTTAGGAATGTAACATGGAAATATGTGTTAAAACAAATAATAAAAATACCCTGGCCCAGAGTGCCTACTCTTGGGAACTGAAATACTTATCATCATGGGGATGTTTACTGCAGCATAGTTTATAAAGTATTTCTTCCAAGTGGGAGATTGTTGACACATATACTACAGATACATCACCGTGACTTAGCTACAACCATTGACATGGAGAGATTTCCATGTTATAATTGATAATTGATGAAAACAATCTAATGTTTATTGATATTATCTCAATATTGAAAAATCAATAACACTAAATCCTTTTGTTCATAAATATGTAAGCATATATCTACACAGCAGTTTGTCAACATTTTAGGAAAATGATATTTGAAGAGGAAAGAAGGAAGAAAAGGTGGAAATAAGCCAGATTTCTAAATGACATTTTAAAGTAAATGTTCATACAAAAAGAACATACATGTTATGATCTCATATATATATATATATATATATATATATATAGTCATGAATGTTTTGAATATAGAAATATAGAGAAATTGAGAGGTACTAAAATGAAGGTTTAATTTGAAGGTCGATATCTGAATAGCTTCTTCTAAAAGAAAACATTAGAAACCACTGAATCAGATAATATTTCACTTTCCATCTGCAGTATTGATATATGTTGGGAAACATTCTTATTTTGGGTGGTTTGTTTATTGGAAATGAAGTTCACATACCCTATAAACAGAGAAATAAGGAAGTGGTAGAGAAAGAAGGGATGTATAAGAAAATAATTTAAAAGTTCTCAAGACATAGGGACTGATATCCCATTTTTAACAAATACAAACAAAACCTAAAAGTACTAACTAAAAAATATATAGCATGCTCATTCCATTTACAGAATTATAGTAATCTCATATTAGACATTAGTGAATGAATCACTTATTTATTCACTCATTCAACTTTTCAGGCATTTATAAAAACTTAAATATATACTCAAAATATGCTAAAGCATTGTAGATATAAGAATGGTAAGGCCCGTGTCTGGCTTGTGGCAGTTACAAGAAGTTGAGGTGATAGCGTGATCAAGTAGTTGTATAATATGATTCAGGCTAAAAACAGAGGTGCATGCTGTATACCATTAATGTGTGCTATATAAGAAGAATGTTACTGCCTACAACAGTGGTTTTCTAACATTTTAACAGCATCATCCTTAATGTTTAAATGAAATTGTAGACTAAACCCTAATATTAAAATAAGGTAGTAATTTAAGAATCCAAATATATTTTATAAGTTCAAAATTTCAAGGTTTTCAAGGGAAATTTTGAGTTAATAAGCATTTGAAATCAGGGATAGACTTGAGAGTTGCTGCAACAATATCCAATTTGTGTTTATAGTTTTGCAGTAGGCAAAAAAAAAAATTTCACATGGATAGTAATTTCAGTTGGAAAGATTTTGTTTCGATTGGAATATTAAAATTCTTGAGTTGTAGTTGAATCAGTTTCAAGATTTTTGCTACCTGCTTCCATCCCTTACTTAGAGTAATGCCACAAGCCAAAAAAATCTATAAATTTGTAGTGAGATGAATTATGCCATGAACAGAACGTGCACTGAGTAGACACGCATTATCTTCTGCAGGAATTTAATTAGCAGAGTACTCACATGCTGTCCAATTCAATAAAACAAATAAGTACCAAGCACCGACTTTATGACAAGCACTGTGCCAATCTGTCCTTGTGGCACTTACAGCCATTAAACAAATAACTGCCAAGGGATTACTAACATGCAAAAGGCACAGGTGCTTAGAGAAACTATTCTAGGGAGTCAGGTAGAGCTTTCTAAAAGAAGTGAGACTTGAACGATGACTAGGAGTCAGCAAGATGAGTGGGTCATAGGGTGGGGATAGAGAGAAGAGATTTTTCAACAGAGGAAAAGGCTCAAAGCAGAACAAAGAGCATAGTAAACTCAGAAATTAACGGAGTCCCTCAGCAATTCATTCATTCATTTAACAAATATTCACTGAGGGCCAAGTAATGCCTGATACTGTTCTAGGCCCTGGAGACACTTCAGTAAACAAAACAGACAAAAGAAAAATCTCTGCCCTCATAGACCATACATTTTAAGGGGAAATGGCTTAAATAATTAAACATATCGAGTGTCAGATGTTGTTAAATTCTTTGAAGACAGGAATAAGAATGGAGAGTAATATGGATTACTCGGGTAGGATTAGCAGGAGTTGCAATATAAAAAGGGGAATCGGGGAAGGCTTTATTAATACGGTAATGTTTGAATGAAGACCTGATGTAAGGGAGGGAGAAAACCATACAGACAGCTGGATGAGAGCAAGTACTAAAGGCCCAATGGCAGGAGAATGCTTTGGATGCCCAAGATTCTGAAGGAGGCCAGTGTGGCTGGAGTAGACTACCTGATACAAAAAAAGAGGTAGAAGATGCAAAGCAGGGTCACAGGGAATGGATGGGGAGCAAAATCATGCAATGCTTGGTAGGCAATTAATAGGGCAGTTGGCTTTACTCTAGGAGAATGGAAAGCCATTGGAAGGCCCAGAGCCCAGTGATAAAGTGATCTGATGTATTTTCTAAGATCACTGCTTGCTGAGTTGAGAATAGACAGTAGAAGGGCAAAGCCTTAACAGAGGGAGTTTGAGAGGAGAGCAGCTTTATCTGATGTGGTTGGAGCTGTAGGCAGGGTGAAGCCATGGGTGAACTGTAGGCAAGCCATGGGTGAACTTGTAATCCAAGGTAAATATTTTAAACTTTAATGTAAAGATGATGGGAAGTCATCAAAGTTTTTTATACAAGGGGATGTAATGAACAGATTTCTGTGTTCAAAACTGTACTATCCAATACGGTAGCCACTAGCCAGCCACATGAGGTTATTGCATGCTTGAAATGTGGCTAGTTTTCATTGGAATGAGCTCTAAATATAAAATATGTATCAGATTTCAAATACTTTTTTTCCTTCTTGAATATATAAGCAGAAGCCTTACTCATAGATTCATTATTGTTAAATTAAGATTCTTGTTTATTTTTACACAGAACATTTTGTGAAAATGTGTTGAGTTAAAATACATAGCTTGTTAAAATATTTTTTAACATAATATTTGTCACTGGAAAATTACACTTCTTTTATTTCATATAACAGTTTTAACTTAGAAAGTGGTCAGGAGTCATTTCTTTGAGACTAGAAACAATTAAGCCCCCCACCATTCAGGACCCCGGGTGTGTACCTTATCGTAGGATCCTTTTTTGTAGGTCTTCCATTCCTATGAAAATGTTCAGTGAAAATGAAAACATGGATTTAAGTGAATAGAAAATGAGGTTCAATGAAACATTTGATAGCATAACTTTAGTCACTTACATTTCATTTTCATTATGTTTTGTGAAAATTTAGTCATTAGCCTACAGTTTTCATGATTTTTGTCATATGTGCATAACAAATATACCTTATTTACTTGATATTTTGTCTACTCACTTTTAAACTTAAAATTGTAAATGAATTTATTTCAATATAATAAATAGAAAATTGTATGCCACAGAAAAATAAAAAATGATTTTGATATAAATGAAGCAGTGTTATCAAGCTATAGCTATGTCTTGCTACAATCTCTGAGTCTAAGGCCAGTTCTCATTTTGTTCAAAAAATATTTAGCCAGTAAGGAAGATGTTAAAGATATACCCACACTACCCTGGGACTTTCTCCTTAAATACTCAGAAGAGCTGAGGGAGAAATGGAATGGAAATCAATTTTAAAGAGTGTGATTCAATGTTATTTAATGCCATCTCCCAGAGCTACACAATCGTCTCCCTTAATGTGGGCATCCCCATACTTTGGTAAGCACTGTTATTTTGCATATCTGTGTTTCAAGTATGCCTTTTAAAAGTAGCAACCTCAGCTAAAATATGAAGTCCCCATTGGGTAACTTATTTTGAATTACTAATTTCATTCATTAATATTAGCATGTATTGACTTTTCTGTGTATGTGTGAACTGAACTCTGACATCCAAAGTGTGTATAAGTTAAAATATGTTGTACACATACAAATAAAATAAGCGATAATAAAATATTGCTTTTCCTATGTTCGCAGCTTGCAGACCAGGATTCTATAAAGCATTTGCTGGCAACACAAAGTGTTCTAAATGTCCTCCACACAGTTTAACCTACATGGAAGCAACTTCTGTCTGTCAGTGTGAAAAGGGTTACTTTCGAGCTGAACAAGACCCACCTTCCATGGCATGTACCAGTAAGTCTGTCCATTTTGCATTTGAAAATCCTGTTTCCAGCCCTTTTGGTCTTTTTATTCTAAATTAAAAAAAAAAAAAGTGACTATACAAAATCCTATGCCATCAAGGCTATTTGTCTTTGTTAATAGTCAAGGAAAAAGTTTCTCTGTCTTTCTTAGCATAGTTGCTTTTCAGCTGCTTGCAAAGAACGTATTTATTCCTCAAAAATCACATTGATCACTGACACGCATATACCAACCTTGATTTGGAGGCCCTGTGGATTTTTCCTAGGCATAATCTGTCCTTAGGAGGTTAAAGCAGTTTAAGGCTTTTTGAGGCTCTATAAGCAAAACTTCTGTTTCTTGTTTCAACCCTTGAACTTTTGAAGGCACATCAGTTTAGGACCATCAAGTTTGCTGTGTGTGACTGCTTCAGTATGGAACTTTGGAAGTCATTGTGCTATCGTTATATAGAAAAGTTTGAGTTTTCCTTGACATTTGTCTTTAAAGGAAGATATTTTTGAGTTTGTCTACATTTCACCTCTCACTTTCTCTCTAATTTTGGGGTTGGAACCAATAGAATATTAAATCTAAATGTGAAGGTCATTTTAATGCATGCACCAAGAATGTTAAATTATTTGTATTCTCCTATTATTAAAGTATCATAAATTATCTGTATACTATAAAAATAAAAGTGAATATATTAATGCATTGCTAAGGTATGCAAAAGTAGTGTCACGGGCTTCCCCGGTGGCGCAGTAGTTGAGAGTCCGCCTGCCGATGCAGGGGACACGGGTTCGTGCCCCGGTCTGGGAGGATCCCACGTGCCCCGGTCTGGGAGGATCCCACGTGCCGCGTGAGCCATGGCCGCTGGGCCTGCGCGTCCGGAGCCTGTGCCCCGCGGTGGGAGAGGCCACAACAGTGAGAGGCCCGCGTATCGCAAAAAAAAAAAAAAAAAGTAAAGTGTCACCTCTTAGTTATAAAAGTCTTGTTAAATACATCAATAAGATATAGTGAAAATTTGCCTTCTTGTTGATGATTTGGTGCCAAAATGTTGCTTATCTTATGTAATTCCATACAGGCAAAAATGGATTGAAAATTATATAATGCCACATATTCCTTAGAGACAGTGGAGATGTTCCATTTATTTTAATTGATGCAGTTTATAGATTTGTATACACTACTACAGACTTATAAAATATTTTTATAGAATGCATTTAATAAAAATACAACACATTCATTAGTAGATGTAATTTTTGCTTTCTGACTGTAAGTGCTGAGTGACTACTTTCTTCAAAAAATTGTAGCCTGAGAAATTGCTACCTGGATATTTTTTTTTCTAGTAATGTATTCTAAGTTTATAAGTAGGAAAAGGAAAATTCTAAATATAATTTCTCACCTAATTGTGGAAATAGTTTTGAACAGGAAAAGATTTCTATTACTATTTATATGTAATCCTTTTTGCACAATTGCTGTATATTATTATATTATATTGTGGACAACATGCTCCAGCTTAGGTAGATGGTAGTGTTTCCAATGGCTACAGTTGTGCCAGGCAAGAATCCCTGAAAACCTACATCAGAAACTAAATGGACTTCCTAGGGGAGTGATAGAGAAGAATCTGCTCTTTTTATTTTCTTAGAAGGCCATAAATAGACAATTGACAAAATGAAGGAATAAATTGTTTCCCATCAATATAACCCTTCAATGAGGTGACAGAGTAGGTAGTTGGGGAGGTTTAGTTCTTTGGAGTGAGAAACTATTAAGGAAATAAATATGGGATATAATAAGGTCTATGAACGTCAGTCATTGTTGAATCTGACATGTGTACTTATTAGCTTAACATTTTATGTTTCTCAGATTTTCTCTCTTTAAAAAAAACTTTTTTATGCTTGGTATTGTAAGTTATGTTTGCAATTATGCTAGCCTGCTTTAACTGCCAAGTGGAAGCAGAAAGGTTTAATTCTGGTCATCGCTAAGCAGAGCTTTAGACAGGGAACAGCATGCTGTATTGCCATAGAGATTAAAAGAGAGAAAGAACTCCCAAAGAAAGGTGAAAACTTCTGTCAGATCTCCCCTCATCCAGCCAAAGGAAAATCCCCTCTCAAGGCTTCTCTCTGCTACTTCCTTGAGGACTTCTTTTCCTTGTTTTAGCAAAAACTTAGCATGGTATGCTAGTAAGTTCACCATCTTTTAGAGTCAAATTATCTGAGTGTAAACCTTGGCTTTGGTACTTACTAGCTATGTAGCCTTGGGCAAATTATTTAACCGTTTAACCTCTGTTGCACCATTCTTCGTGTTAATAACAGTACCTACCTCATTCTGTTGTTATTTATAATGATTAAATAAGTTAGTATTTGAAAAGTGCTAAGAATAATACCTGGCACATAGCAGCTGCTATACAATTGTTTGATACAGAAAGCTCTTCTCTCACAATTCATTTTGAAATAATATTTGATAAGTTAGTATTCAAGCTGTTAAATACTTTATGTTGATAGTATTATGCTGGGCTCACAGCTTCCATCATCTACATTCCTACAAATTGAAAGAAATAACGTACTGAATTTGTAAGACCTTTTCACAAAATATATTAAGTCCTCTACCTCTATGCATATCTAAGTAAAGTTTTTTGATTTATACACTGACTAGGTGAGAGGCCCTAGCAATTATTATAATATATGCAGAAAAAGCAAGGACCCATAAACTCCAAAGCATCATACTTCCTAAAAATTGAAAGATTAGATTGTTAGGGAAGAAAAACCAGGAAAATGGAAAGCCAAGAGGTCATTGAACAGTTAAAGTTAAGAGGACCAAGGTAACTTCACCAAGATACAGAACTTTTGAGGCTAAGGATCAAATAAGCAGTCAACCTTTCCGTTTTTCATTAACCATAAACAATAGCCAAATTCTAATAGATTTTTAATAGATGGAAGCTCCCTTAACTTCTAGATCATGTGTCTCTGAATTAGCCATTCTTTATCACCTTTATTCCAATAATATATTATCTAAAGGTCAGAATTTGTGTCAGGTAGACAGTCATATCACTTTCTGCTGTTTTGACTTAGCATTTGAAGCTATGCTTTCAGAGAATCTTCCAGGCATTTAAAAGGAAGCTTTTTTTTTTTTTAACTTGGTATCAGGGGCAGGGAGATTTTGAATGTTTGGATTTAAAAGAAAATGGAGGACCAAAATATTGAAAATGACTAACTAAGACATTTGGCTAGTAAATGGCCTAGTAGCGAAAGAGCTCCTAGATACGTATTGTATGTAATCATATGAGTGATTTGAATCTAAGGACCTCAAGAGATCTTTCCCTGCTCCTTAGCACTGTCATCAAAACAACAGCAACCCTTAAGTTACTGGTACAACAAAGCATGTGACTTCACCATTAAGAGTTTTATAATTTCTTTGCATTTTCACTGTAGAGATAGGTATACTTTTTTTAATTTCATAATCTTGAGACATATAATATATATGATATAATCACATAAATATTTTCATTAAGATTTTATTTTTAGAGCAGTTTTAGGTTAAGAACAAAATTAAGAGGAAGTACAGAAATTTCCCATGTACCTCCCTCCTCCCAACCCAGACATGCATAGCCTTCCCATTATCAACATCCTCCACCAGAATTGTACATTTGTTATATTTGATGAACCTGTATTAACACATCATAGTCACCCAAAGTCCATAGTTTACACTAGGGTTCACTATTGGTGTTGTACGTTCTTTGGGTTTGGACAAATGCGTAATGACATGTATCAATCATAATAGTATACACAGGATTTTCAGTGCCCTAAAATCCTCTGGGCCTATATTCATCCTTTCCTCCTACCAACCCATGGCAACCACTTATTTTTGTGCTGTATCCATGTATATATATGTTATATAATTTGAATCATATAGTAGAATATTTCAGATTGGCTTCTTTCCCTTAATATGCAGTTAGGATCCTTCCATGTCTTTTCAAGGCTGGATAGCTCATCTATTTTTAGTGCTGAATAATATTTCATTGTTTGGATATACCACAGTTTGTTTATCCATTTACCTATTAAAGGACAGCTTGGGGCTTCCCTGGTGGCGCAGTGGTTGAGAGGCTGCCTGCCGATGCGGGGGACACGGGTTGGTGCCCCGGTCCGGGAGGATCCCACGTGCCGCGGAGTGGCTGGGCCCGTGAGCCGTGGCCGCTGAGCCTGCGCGTCCGGAGCCTGTGCTCCGCAATGGGAGAGACCGCAGCAATGAGAGGCCTGTGTACCGCAAAAAACAAAAAAACAAACAAAAAAAGAATTAGAGCCAACTTTTGTCAAAAACCATACAAACAAGAAAAGCAAAGGGAAATATTTAAAGGAAAAAAAAAGGACAGCTTGATTATTTTCCAGTTTCAGCAATTATGAATAAACTGCTATAAACATGCATGTGCAGGTTTTTGGATGGACATAAGTTTTCAACTCCTTTGAGTAAATACCTAGGAGTGTGATTGCTGAATCATATGGTAACAATATGTTTAATTCTGTAAGAAACCACCAAACTGTACTGTTCTGCATTCCTACAGTGAATGAGAGTTCCTGTTGCTGCACATCTCGTCAGCATTTAATGTTATCAGTGTTCTGGATTTTGTTTGTTTCTAATAGGTGTGTAGTGGTACATCATTGTTGTTTCAATTTGCATTTTCTTGATGGCATGATGCGGGACATCTTTTCATATGCTTTTCATATGCTTATTTGCCATCAGTATATCTTCTTTGATGAGGTGTACACATAAAGATTTTTAGTTGTTTCAAATGGCTAAAGTTTAAAAAAAAGATGTCTCATAATCAAAGCTAATCCCTCAAATATTGGCTGTGGAGGGGTGACCAAATCCTTCCATCTATTGGGCTGGGCTGTTATTGTTAACTTCCTCTTTTGATTTTTTGTTTCCACTAACTCCTTCCTCACCACCTATAAGTGTACTCAAACTTCTATCATTAAATAATGTTCCCAGTCCAATAGTTTTTCTCCCAAAACGAGTACCTTGAAAAAGCA